TTATCTCGATAATGAGATCTCATATTGCTGTATCGAATCGCATCAGTTTACGGATTATTGGGCAAATAAGCATAGTGACATCCAGGAAATGAAAAGTTATTGCATTTGTGAAGGATAAATTAAAATCAGTGAGAATCAGATGGAACATTGAATGAAGTTGTGACCATCACCTGAGTTCTCTAGAAGATTATTATGTCGTTGAAGATGAGATGTTTTCAGTTTTCGAACGAACAAAGGAGTTGGATACAGTTGTTATTTTATGGGGAACTGCTTGGTGGTGAGTAGTATGCGATCGCCAGGCAAAGAGGTGGCTCGTTGTATTCGACAGGAACTCTCGCCGAGGAAGTTGGTCGTTTGGTCATTTCTCGTTGATTGTTCATATGGTGTACTTCTCATGATTTGCTTGCTTTATTGCCATCAACGTGGCGAAACCAGATGCATTCATTCATGCGGATTATATTTGGTTGAATTTTGAAGAACTAAATGGATACATAAAATTTTATTTTAGATGGCATCACATCGCAATTTCACATGTTTATTCAAGATGGTCGAAGAGTGAAATACAGTGCTTTATCGATGGACAGTTGATCGAGTCATTCGACATTACATGGTTAATATTCGTTTATTTAATAAGTATTCATCAGAGATGAATGCAAATGATAATGTGTGATACGTGATAATAATGATAGCAATTTTGATAAGCATCTTAATTTCTGATAGGTTGGTGTCAACAACGGATCAGTTCGATAAGTGCACAGTGGGCTGTGGACCGGACGGTGAGGAGTCGTTCTGTGGTCAAATCGCGGCCATTTACGTTTTCGGCGAATCGATCACTCTGCAACAAGCGAATTCACTCTATTGTCTAGGTGCCATTTATCAGAGTAACTTCAAACACGATGCAGAATCGGATCTGCCAGAAGGATACAAAAAGGTTTGCATTTTTAGCTCTGATCATTTGCTTTACCTATTCTAAGTTTGTCACGATAATTACTCGAAGTTCTGATAATAATCGTTATTTCGGAGGCTTTTTATTCATAAATGATGTGTAAAACTGAGTAATTTCGAAGAGCAAGAAATAAGAATGCTCACAAAATTAATGCGAAATTGGAGAGTTTTTTGGAAAAGAAAATGAATTTTGCAGCATTTGTTTGACGGTCGAT